AGGAATTCGCTCTCGAAGATGTTATTCCACTTACTATTGGCATCGAAAAGCATGACGGAACAATAGGTCTTGTTATTCCGCGATACACGAAGATTCCAGCCAAGGTGTCGAAAGCCTCAAAAACCATAGTAGATAACCAAGAAATAATGACATTGAAGGTGAACATACATAAAATGTCACAAAATATATTGGGTATATTAGTCGAACTATACAATTAATATAGTTATTAATAAATATGATATTAATATTGCACAGATATATGAAGGCGAGCGTACTTTGGCTGAAGATAATCATTTCCTCGGAAACTTACAATATCGGGAATTCCACCTGCACCAAGGGAAGAAAGAGAAATTAAAGTGTTCCTTGAAGTCAATGCATGTGAAATTCTCCATGTCAAAGCTATTGAAGAAATCACTGGAAATTCAAGTGAGATAATGATTGCAGGAGACAAAGGACGATTAAAAGAGAGCGAGATGAAACGAATGGTAATCTATTAAATTTATTGAACGCTTACAAGATTGCTAAATATATAAGCAAATACGAGACGGCCTGCAGCATAATTGCGCATTTATTACCTTAAATGTTCAAATAGGGAAACAGGGAACAAACTGCAAATATCTTAACATTTTACGATATTATTTTCAACAGTGTGAAAGGAACATATATGCAAATATATGAAATGAAATGGTTTTAAAAATGTTCTGTCAAAATTGCAGCCGGAATGAAACCGTACATTACAGGAACATGAGTTACACGCTAGCACAAGCAAGTAAATCTGACTCTCTTATCGCTCACTCTCTACGAAGGTACAAGAAGCAGAAAAGTTTGGAAAAAGGAACGAAGAGCTAAAACAGCGAAGCGAGGCAAGGAATAAGCTTGAAGATAAAAGTTTCAATTTATTGAAATAGCCCTGTTGTCTGCGGGGCTATGGCTTTTTATTTAATTAATTTTTCACCGGCTAAAATCCTTCGATTTACACAATTTCCTGATCACGAGTTATTACGCCAGCAATAGGATTTCCAGCTGAATTATCTTGACCAAGTTGAGATAGCAGACGTTTTCTCTTGTGTTATTAATTTTCTACCAAATTTGAAATTTCAATATTATTTCAATTCACTTTAACATTGTAAATAATAAAAAATTCGTCACATGAAACGTATTGTAACAATGTGAGAAATTTCACGGGATATGGTTGAATATGAGTGCGCAAGCTTCTCCTGCTGCCAACTGACTCGCAATGCTCATGGCTGAGACAAATTACTAGTCTCGACGTTGTTTCTTTGACAGCCTACTAAAACCCGAACTAGGTATACTGGTAGAGGTTAAAGTGACTATAATAAATGTTTTAGTCACTTTGACGTTGACTGAATGAAAGAGGTGTGTAAGTGACGGATTAATGTACACGATGCTGATGTAAAGATTGGAAGTCAGGTATAGCGTTTAGGTCGGCAGTTGATACAAGTTTTAAATCAATTTTTCGCAACTGATTTGACGTGACGCTTCGCTCAAAACGTAAATTTTTCAATAAATCTGAAAATTCTGTGGGACTACAATACAACATGGTTATTTCAAAAAAGATCAAATAAGTAGGTGGTGGTTAAGATCTCCGCTAATACTCGAGGCCCGCAACAATTCCTAGTTGCTATCGGGCAATAGGGGGATGTTTCTGTACTAGCAGCGTACCGCATGAACAGGTGACCAAAACTGCAAGTTCATTTAAGCGCTGCGCGCCTCGTCGACATCCCTTGCGTGTGGTTGAACAGCGGATAATAATTGAAAAAATGTTCACTACAATTCCCAAGGCTTTGTCAGTTTATGGATTATAGAGATAGGAACTGGGTTCTTGGAATAAGCAGGCTATTTTCTTCTGCGAAGGTGAGCTTAATAGAAATTTTAATATTTGACTTATTTGAAGAGAAAATGGCGGCAAATTGTAAAAAAGTGGAAATTTCCCAACGATCGGCGCGCATATTCGCTGCTGCCATGGAAACGAAACATCAATCCGAACTTCCAGTGACAGACAGAGAACGGCTGAGATTCGAATAATATTATTCTTCATTTGTTCAAACTCTTGTAGGACAAATATGCATTGAACATGACAAAAGAAATAGGAGTATTACGAAAAGTAAAAAAATTCGTGGACAAAGTTTTGTTATCCAATTTTTAGTACTTGCATATTTCCTCATAGGTTCTTCTACTTTTTTATTCCGCGAGAACACTTTCATCATAAAATTGAGAAACACATGATATAACATCTCTTATAACAGTAGTTTTATATATATACTCTATTTAAACCAGCGATTGGCTATATCATGACACTTGTACACATCACGTCTACACGAGTAACTTTTTAACAACCGACAGACTCGGATATCATTCTTATTTGTCATACGAAATTGAGCAAATTTACATACGGAAAACAAACCAATGATGAATAAAATACAAGAATGTTTATGACGAAGTTCAACGGGAAATTGTAAAATAATTTTTTTTCAAATATATATAAATATTGAGACATAAATGTTCTTCCTGTATGTGAATTTACGATATCTTGTAGATTTTCAAAGTTTTGCTCAGTCAGGTATTAAAATCAATATACTGTAGATGCTTACATAAATTCCTTTGTGTCACGCAAAATAAACGTTGGTCTGCGTGACCCTGATGCTATGATATTTCAGAGCAAACAAAGTGCGATAAAAAACAACATCACAACCTTATAATCGTCGATTAATCTAAGGCCCATGCGTCAGAATAATACACTCATTCAAAGTGTATTAGCACAAGAGTATTTAAATAACAAATTGCATAATGAAGGACTGAACTAAATTCACGAAATAAATAATAGCCTGACAATATATTTGAGTAAATAAGATAGAGTTACATTACTAGAAAACAGACAGACAAGGAGGGTGATTGTAACAAATCTCTACTAGCTAAGAGTAAGAGTGGAAGTAGAGATTTAATTGAAAAGTCATGAGATTAAGGAGAAAGAGAGAGAGAAAATTAAATATCAATTTAGGTTGGATCACTTAGATAAACTGAATCGAGTTAAAACGAACAGTAATTAGGAGGATAGAGTATTTGACACGCAAAACCCCCAAAAAAACGTCTAAAATCATCGAAAACTGTGGTTGGGGATGAACTCGAATGATTATTTATTAAAAGGATCGAAGTGACTCGGGTCATTTAAATTAAATGATTTAGACTTGCCCTGACCGCAATGGCGACCTCACTCGCTGATTACCTCGAGGCATAGGAAGCTATGAACTATAGTTTCATTTAATTGAAATCGAGGTAGTGTATTCGGAAAATTAATAAATTTATGAAACGCGTAAAAATTATTTTTGGTATTGGTTGGTGGATCGTATAATAATTAATTATTTAAAAGATTGAAGTAAATGATTTGCATGCGGTTGTTCCATCTATGTAATGCAAGGGACCAATGCTCAAATATATGGACACGAATGACAAAATTAAATATTTTACCCATAATTTCTTCAGAACTATATCCTGGACAAAGCTGGAACTATGTAGCGCTATCGTACCTGTGATTCTATTGTAGTACTACAACGAGCGAGTAGCGAGTTACCAACTCGCGGCGCGCGAGCTGCATGAGGCTCTCAAACCCGTTTCATACCGCTCTTTTCGCCTTGGTTATTTTAATTAGGGAAAAAATAAGTTGCAAACTACGAGTTATCAATTTCGATTAAACATATTATGATTCATCGTGCATTCTTCTTTTACGTCGAAGATACAACTTCATTCACTTTACCATGCAATCGTAATTATTACGTCACTATTGAATTTTTTGCTGTGAGACGCACTTATTGCACTAAAACGGCTGTCGAAATCGTAGTTCTGCCAGAAATTACCATTTGGGTGAAGTAAATGAAATGCAGATAAAACGTCACAGATCAGCCCCGTGGCGTGTATAACTACGGCGTGTAAATTTCTGTCATAATCATGTTGGTTTGTGACATTTACAATAAACTAGCATTCTAGCAAAGCTGAATAAAAGTATATCTGATGTTAATGTGTGTTCTGGTTTATAATATGGCTCTTCGCGGTATCAAAGTACGAAATGCAGCTCTTGGTCTCTCACTGGTTGGTCATCTCTGTACTACAAGTACTTCTGGTGGGTGTGGGGTCCTTTATAAACGAAAAACGGGGAGAGCATTGACGTAGACCGCCATGCGTGGCAAAATAAAAATCGTGTTCCCATGGATATAAATAAAAGAGCAAGATGTTGAATGAAATATCAGATCTCATAGAATTCATGGAAAATTTAGAAATAAATAAAAGTAAAAGTCTTCTACAACAATCTATAAAGTCCATTAGGTAATTTAAAAAGCGATTTTTTTACAAGATCCATAGGTCCACTTTGCGCCCAATAACATTTGAATCTTTAGTATCACTGGATTGGGCGCCAATTACAGCGCAGACTAAAACAGTGTCTTATCTATGTTTGTCAAATAAACGTATGCTGATATAAGTGTTCCACAAACATCTCTTGTGGATACAATGAACCTCGATCATAAGAAAACTATTTCGTTTCTTCACGGTTTTATGTGGTCGACTATATTTCGATTTACCAAGTATGGGCCTGAAATATCTAGTGTCAAAGCATTGTTCATGCTAAAACGTTTAAATATAATATAAGGGTAAACTAAACATATACGAAATACTACCACGCTATTGTTGGTGTTAAAGACATAAAATTGTTATTTTTTTTGTTATATTTTTATTTCGTGCGCCTCTGCTTTTGCGTTAAAAAAGTGCGAACGCTTAACCTACTCCAACAAACATAGTTGTGGGGTTAAAGTAATTGCTGTGATAACTGTGTATAATTAGTATTTGTATTAGCAGTTTCTTTTTATGATTCAACGGGATTATTGCAGAATACAGAATCCCATAGTAGTTAATTAACTAGCAAAATGGACTAACTGTTTCAAATGCAACTTCACTAATAGATTATACATAAACGTTGGTAAAACAAAATAATGCCGGCAATAGGAATTGACTTGGGGACTACAAACTCATGCGTGGCGGTTTTTCGGAACGGAAGGGTATGTATATGCTATGCTAATAATGGTGCGGCAGTGGAGAAACAGTTGATAAATAAGAATGAATATTAGGTCTATTAGAATTGCATTTTTCCGCTATAGAGAATTTTAATGCTGTTGTGGATTTTGTTTTGAGGATGCATTATCCCAAACAATCAAGTTTTAAAACGTAACTTAAGAATGAAATCACGAGGATAATTCTCGAAAGTATGCTGAATTCTAACCTATGTGGTGCAGACATGGGAGATAAAGCTTTTGCATTAACAGCAAAATTCTTGTTTATAATATGATTATTATTTATTATACAAGCACGCTCATTCCGCTTCTCCCGCAAAAACGCATGGCGGCATCGACCAGATGTTGGAGTGCGATGCGCAGTGCATTTTTTTGGTCGAGAGTGGTCATGTGACTATCAATGACATTAATGAATTGTGATCAAAGTGAACGATTTTCTAGTGCAAGTTTGATGTTCCCTTTTTAGTGAATTTATTGGAGCCATTCAGAAAGTTCATATACCCAACACGACATTGTTTCGTAAGGGAATGTAAACTTTGGCCATTATTTTTTGAATTAGAAGAAACTTTCAGCAGCATCTCACAGATTTTCAAAATCACCAAATTCACATATTACATAGTTCGTATTAACAGCCATTTTATTGTAACCACAAATGTTAAAAGCACGTGGAATTTTCCCGGAATTTCGCGATATTCAATATTCTCTGGTCATTCAGGATAAATCGAACTCAGACCAGAGTCAAAAATCAAATGCAACTATTTATCATGGATATGCGAGTTATGATATTAATCCAATTAAAGAGTCCAGCTGCACACTAACACAAATGTATTTCCGTAACGTTTCGTCCGACCAGAATCAGACTTCCTCAGACAAACAGTTTACAACAATGTAAAAAGTTATCAAGCAGTAAATTCACAAAACAAATTAATTTTATTTTTTATCTTCTGTGTAGAATTTGATGCTCCATATCTAGGGCTGGGCGTTTCGAAACACTGTTTCGATACGTTTCGAAACACTGATACGTCGAAACGGCGCTGTTTCGACTTCCGAAACGGATATTATGACGTCATAGCAAATGCAACCTGAAATCAGTCAAGGTATCATTCAGCGATGTCCAATTCAAATATTGCGAATCTCAAATATCGTTTTTAATGTTTATAAGAATATTGAATATGGCGCACAAGTCCTAGCGCCACTGTCAATGTTTTGATTGAAAACATTTTACAATTATTCCATTTTTATGTTTTATCGTAATCGAAGACACTCTTTGCGACGCGTAATAAATTACTGCCGACAAGAAATGATTTAAGTCAGCGCCGACTTGCAGTATTTATACCACGTCGAGAAAGTTTTTGATTGAAAATATTTTACAATTATTATCGTATTTTGCAACATAGTCGAGATAACCGCGGCAATAAATCTAAATTCAAATTTTTTCGTAATTAATCTTCTTCATCCTTAGTTTCGATAGTGACCGAGCATTTCTTGCATTTACCCCGTATGAAATAGCTCTTAAATATTATTTAGTATCTATCACAGATTTTATAGTTAGACTGGCGTCTTTAATAATAATATTCAGTTCAAGTTTGCGGTATTAATTTAAAAACAATAATACAAGCATAGCAGTCAACATGAAATATTTAAATCAGAGCTGACTTGAAAAAAAATAAAACACGATTTTCAGTCTTAATTCTCCGTCATTGGCGGATGGAAATTTGTGAATCGTGTCCACTCATTTGATTATGATGATGATCGCGTTATGGGCAAAATGAAAATCAATTTCCCCCAGTAGCACAACAGTCAATATCTGTGGGGAGAGATAATTGTAGTGGAATTTAGCCTACCGATGTCGATGTCACGCTGACGATAAACAGTGAGAACGAAAATTAGACGTGTCAAAAATCTGAGTTAATGTTAATTTTATTGTATAATTTAAAGCATTTCTCTGGGCGCCTAGTTGTTCTTTTTTCTGTGCTTGTCAAAATACACCCCAACTCATTACTACTGTAATGTTTATTAAGTCCATTTCTGTAGCGCAAAATATAACGAATTTCAATCAATGATAATATCACGAAAACCCATTCCCTATGTTCCTGGAGTCCAGAATGTAATCGGAATTCAGATTCAAAAATATTTTTTAGAATGTACTGGATCACGAGGATCTGTGGCATCGGATAAGGTAGAAAATGAGCATTGATACGTTGAGTGGCCCCATATGCTATGCTGCTTGTGAGCCCCATCTCTAACAATGACCTAATTCGTATTATTCTGTTGCCATTTGGTCACTGAGCAGAAACCTTCGTGGAAATATCATTATCGTTTCATGCTCTCGAATTAGCCTCCAGTGCTTCCTTTCTGTGGTTTTAATTCTGGAAAATAAGTGCCATTGTCCATTATACATTAAATTCGATGGGTAATATTGGTGACATGTTTACTGTTCGTGACAAACGTGTGTTTCGTTTCGATTTCGTTTCGAAGGCAAAATTTCGTTTCGATTTCGAAACACCAGTGTTTCGAAAATGCCCAGCCCTATGACCATATCACAATTTGTTAATAAGGTCCCAATTTTAAGCGAACAATATTATCATTACTGTCCCAGGGACGCAATATTTGTGAAGCTAATGGTTGACTCTTTTATGCTCTTAATTTTGTGTTATTTATTTCCGTGTTATTTTCATAATATAATAATATTTAAAAACTCCATCAATTGGTCATCGCCTCAATACTCAGTTTTGAGTATTTACGTAACTCGGCCTTGGGCTAAAACACTGATATTAAATACTTGAATAAATCGGCAATAATGGCATTTCTATGTAGTCAAAATAATATTTTTCTGCCAAAATCTCGGGAACTTTCCATAGAATACATTATTTACCCGTCTTACTTATCTGTTTCGACGTTTCTAAATTAAAAAAAAAAAAAGTGCTGATGCGCTATATGCAAAATTGGAAAGATATGATCGGCGCAGAAAAAAAAAAATACCACGAAATTTTTCACATTCATCGTTTCCGTCTGTTAGCGAGAGCCACAGGTAATTTCTTACCTGTATTTCGTTGTAAATAAATAATAAATTTTATTTTGCCTTCCATTGCGCCGTGATTTGTATTATTGAAAGTTATTGCGTCGGAAAAAGAGAGTCCTTCTTTCCTTTTGAGCGCCCATAACGACGTTTGAATTGTTCCTTATTTGTTTCATGGAGAGAAAGGAGAATGCCATTTACTGAATTACAATCAACAATTCCAGATTCTTATTTGTCATTATCGGCGCTAACTAAAAAAGATAATTGTCCCGAAAGCAATAGTGTTATGTGCAACGTTTTGAATTACCGGTGCATAGTCTTATCTTACAAAATGGTTAATTTACAGTCAATATACGCAAACAATAGAATCACTTTAGGTATTTATTTCGGAGTTATGTATTGGGGACTCGGACACGAGTCCAGCCCAAATACTCGAAATCGGCCGAGCAGAACCTTTTTGGATTTGTGGCACCCCTAGCATTTGGCACCGAGCTATGGCCGGTAGTAACTAATATTGATTCCAGCCTGCATATATCAATGAGACACAGTGGTTGAAACGAAACTCCGTTAACGGAATGGCTCGTCTTTAATTTGTAATATTAACGGAAGGAACGCTTTTTCGAGTATCTATGCTGTTTGAAATGAATGAAAAACAAAAGCTAGGGCCCCTGACCTGTTAAAATCGGCCAGGGCACTTTCGCACTTTTTTTTTAACTGCGAAGCACCTTCGCACTCATAATTTCCTTAGAGTGAACACTGCAACCAATAGTATCTGTCGAAAGCCAACTTCAAGAATTGAAAATGCAATGTTTCATGAATCATTTAGATTTACGCTATTACTCCTTCAACCTAAAAGATTTGTTATTACTGGGCACAAACTGGCGGTTATAAAACACGGGCATACTTTCATGTAAAATTTGTCATGTGTAAGAAATATTTCCGTCTACATATTTTTATCATTTCTCTCTTGATAAATAGTATAAATTAATTATTGTTTTGCAGCAATTTGTCCTGTGACGGTTTAGAATGTGCGAAAAAATCATAACGGAATAACTCCTCTCTTGGATTGAAAATTTATCTTGGCTTAATGGATTAATTATATTTTTTGTTTCATTTCACAGGCAGAAATTATCGCAAATGATCTCGGAAATCGAGTTACTCCGTCCTATGTCTCGTTCACGGGAAATGAAAGACTTGTTGGCGAAGCCGCTAAAGAAGAGGCGACTGAATATTTTGAGAATACTCTTTACCGTGAATATTTTTATAAAAAAACCTTTGTAGCCAATTTCGACTCTAAAATATTGAACTTGTACTCCATCCTGTGAATTGTAAAATAAAAACCTTCTGTCGAACGTACTTCTGATTTATTGACGAACCTTTGATCTAAATTTCTAGAGCCGAGACAATTAACCCAACTATGTTAGGATCACCGGCTAAAGATATTGGGATTCGTGCACTTTACTCAGGGTGAAATAACTTCAATAGATAATGCAAAACTTTGGGAAAATTTGCGAAGGGTTGCGAAGGGGTCCGATTGAAAACAGTAGCTTGTTACGTAGCCAGTGTATGCTTTTAGGAAACACTGTTGGGAATTAGGTCGCTAAAAATTGAAATACACTTATATCATATTTTGTGACTGAAAAATAATATATCAATTTTGGTATGCCTAAGTGACAACTGTATTGACTTAAAACAGTGTTCAATATAATTTTAGAAATTAAACGTTTGATTGGACGAACATATGATGACCCTTCGGTTCAGGCTGATATGAAATTATGGGGGTTCACCGTTATTAATGATGGTAACAAGCCAAAGATATCGGTAAGTAACCACTGAAAGCAATATAAAAGGTATTATACCATTCATCGTCAAGTTGCAGTAATCATTTTTTTGTTATTTTATTTTCAGGTAGTACATGGCCACAAAAGAAATGTATTCCGCCCAGAACAAATAAGTGCGATGGTGCTGGAATATATGAAAAACGCAGCTGAGGCATTCTTGGGTGAAACCGTAACTGATGCAGTAATTACGGTCCCTGCATATTTCAACGATGCACAACGAAGAGCAACTAATGATGCTGGGGTAATCGCAGGTCTCAACGTTATTGGCATGATCAATGAGCCGACTGCTGCCGCTGTGGCGTATGGACTAGATAGGCAGGTAATGCTATTTTTATTTCCTATTCAACCGTTTGTGCATGTTCCAAAATATATCAATTTTATTCAATTAGCTGGTTATAAAACTCGCTGTATATGCCTATCCATTTTACTTCATATAAACAAACAAAAGTTGAACTATAACATGTACAGTCAAAAATATGCATATGCAGTCAACTCATATAGACATGGAGCTAATGTCATAGGCCTATAAAGCTACAGCCATATGCATATACAACCAATTCACTATTATATACAGCCATCACAGTAATGTACAACATACACAGGATATGAAAAATTTGTCAAAGAACATTATACCTTGTTTGCAATCCCAGTTTTAAAACTAAGAATCGATTCCAATGCACCGAAACCGATTCTACCCGATTCCACGAAAAATCGATTCTACTCGATTCCACGAAAAATCGATTCTGGAATCGAATCCGGAGTCGATTCCGCCATCCCTAGCTTGTGGCCCGTATAAATGAGTTGTCGGTATAGTGATACGACATTGACTGTGTATACATGGACCTTTGTTTATACATCAATTACTTGACTAAAAATGTTTATTGATTCGACCATATACCCATATGAAATTCCTTGTGTATCTACACTACTTGAATGGCTGTTTAATATATAAATTTGGCAGTATATTAGTTGACTGAACATAAATATATTTTAGCTGTATTTTTATATCGCGTTACCAACCCTATCGCAATTGGTCGGAGTATTATGTTCTGGTTACATATGCATATTTGATTGGTTCTCTTTAAATATGACTGTATATTCAAATAGGTTGGCTGCTTATCATTTTTCTTCACTGAATATTTAAACTTATAAACAATATTCATTTAAGTTATCAGTTCGTTGATAACGTGTTAGTTTGATTCTAATTATTAATACGTTCAATCATTTCACACAGAGCGACAATGAACGAAATGTTCTCATATTTGATCTCGGCGGAGGCACCTTCGATGTTACCATCGTGAAAATTAAAGGTCGCAAGTTTAATGTGAAAGCTACGGGTGGGGACACTCACTTGGGGGGTAAGATACAAACGCATTTTATGCGTATGATAATGTATACCGTATAGCAGGGGTCTCCAACTCAAAATATGTCGCGGGCCACTTTTTGAAATTTTTTGACGACGCGGGCCACAAACTAACATATTATTATATACAAAAATCAATAAAGTAAATCTGAATATATTTGTTGAAATTACCCTCGAATCTTACACCAAGCGAGACATGAAACATATTTGTTTACTTGTGTTGGATATTTGGCACCGTTTTGTAGCGGTGAGAGACTTGATGTTTGGCCATATTTTGCGTTGGTTTGCTGGTCTTTTGACAGCATACAAACTCTCGACCGTTATTTTTGTTTTACTTTTAACAGTTTGTTGTACCGAACACTTGATGTTACATAAAACGATAAAACTCATAGTTGACATCATACTATTCTAGTTTTTTCTGGAAAAATCTCAACCACGTGGCGGGCGGCACAAAATGCTTTGCGGGCCGCGTGTGGGATACCCCTGCCGTATAGCATGGTTGACCATAAACGTAACAACTAGGTTGTTTAAGCTATTATTATGATTATCAACTAGTTGAAACTTTGCACAATATGTAACTTATGTCTCTCTCTATATATACGTAGGTGAGGACTTTGATAACATACTTGTGGAATATTTTGTTTCCGAGTTCAAGCAACAACGCGGTGAAGATATATCAAAAAATAAAAGAGCATTGAATCGTCTTCGAGTGGCGTGTGAGGCAGCAAAAAGAAAATTGTCTTCGTCTACAAACGCTAAGTATGTTATACGTTATTTTATCATCGTTTAAGACATGCACACGTGATTTTTTTTTCTTGAGAAGTTTTCACGATTTTCACTCCGCACAGAGCTACGTACTTTCGCAACATGCTTTATTTACAACCTATGCATCATTTACAACCTATTTAACTAAGTGACTTTAGAATTATTTAAAAACAATTTTCCAAAATATATACTTAATATATTGGATTTGAATGCCTGAAACTACTTATGTCGTGGTTTTGTTTTTAAAGGGTTCAAGTCGATGCTCTGCAAAAGGGATACGATTTTCGCAGCAACATTACACGAGCAAAATTTGAAAATCTGAATTACAATTTTTTCGTGAGAGTTCTTGATACCGTGAAGATTACACTTTCTGATTCTGGACTTAAAAAGGAAAACGTGAGATATGCACGAAGCATTAGCATACTCTACTTCAACGCAGTGATTTTACACTTGTTCTGAGAACCTAAACTTTTTTGCTGTAACTGATGTTGAAACAAATTATTTTTCGTTCCAATCCCTAAACCATTTGAGACTGACAGACAATTACTTGAATTGGAGCCACGTTTTGAACAGATGATTTCGAGCGAACTCGATTTATACATACCGTATATACAATGTACACATACACTATGGTAACTAAACAAAATTATGTTGGCATTTAGTTTTTTTATATATATATTCACACATTGGGATAATTTTTGTGAACAAAACAAGCCATAGGTAGCCATTCATACGATGCTAGATGAATAACTTCATTAGTCACTAAAAGTTGTGTACTTGTTGAAAGTCGTGCTTGTTATTTAGTTCTCGGGAATTCTGTCAGCTAACTATTGTAATTATTGATTATATTACATAACAAACTGTGATACTAGGTGTATCTAAAATCAAGATTAGAGCCTGTTTTGGTGCCTATTTCTCAAACATTTCCCCCGGCCGTGCCGTCGCACACTTTTTGTCGCTTCCCTTTTCTGGCCCTCAAATTTTATTCTGCTGTGTATTTTGGCTCGCGGTGACAATTTGGGGAACCCCTTATGTGGATGTGGATTGTTTCTTAAATACATACCAATTTTTTAAGGATACAAATAGTTTTAGCGCTAATAGCAAATTATTTGCCAACCCCTAAATTTCGAAACACTCCCCCTAAAATGAAAAGCTGGGGAACATACTAGGTGAGAGCATAGGAATTAAAATCGAGATGTATCATCAGCGATGCCAACACAACGAGCCTTACGCCAGGTCGGCAATCTACGGTCCGCGAGGCTTCACTGATGTTAATGGATATACATTTTCTTAGGCAAGTTTCGAAAATTTTATCATGATGCAAAATTAGGATTTCACTATTTATTTAGATTGATGACGTTGTTCTTGTTGGAGGCTCTACGCGGATTCCAAAAATCCAAGAAATGTTGGAAAAGTACTTTGACAACATAAAGCTTAAAAGAACTATTAATCCTGAAGAGGCAGTTGCTTGTGGTGCAGCCGTATACGCGTCTTCACTTGGTTCTGTAAAAGATCTCGCTGTAAGTAGTCGTTCCTCAATAAATTTCCACAAATTAACCAAAAATCAATGATCAGGCGCGCTAGTGTTTGCTGGCCCTTATCGAGACGAGAATCTGAAAAAGCAGATTTTGGGGCATTGCAATTGTAAAATGCCTTTTGTCGAAATGAACTTTTTGTCGGCGACGCCAATCATATTTCCAATGTTATCAATCTACTTGCCACACACAAAATTCTTCGAACAGTTGCAGACCACAAAGGGGCAAAAACGAACTCAAAATGCATAAAATATTTTGAGATGTTTCTTTCAATTAAGTAATCGTATATAGATTTCAGAATCAACGCAACAAGTAATAGGTACTGCCACAGTTGAGTTCGCATAAATAAATTACATATTTATTACAAATTACCATTATTGGTGGCAGCTCACAACCATACGAGTAGTAGATTAAGATAAATCCTTCCTATAGCCACAATGGTTTATATATATATATATATTTTGTGATTAACCGACAACACTACCAAAAACGGGTGCGATTATCATTAAATGTTTTGTAATCGAATAACAATACAAATCGTTACATAAAAGAATACATATTAAATAAATTGGCTTATTTCGGTTTTTAAATCATGTAGTGTTTCGACAGAAGACTTTCTATTCTAAAGATTGAGAACACATACTGCTTAGTTAAGTAATATTTCAATTATCTCAGCTAAAGGAATTCGCCCTCGAAGATGTTATTCCACTTTCTATTGGCTTCGAAAATTATGGGGGAACATTTACTTTTTCTATTCCACGAAATACGAAGATTCCATCCAAAGTATGGCACACCTGGTATACGTCGGCAGATAACCAAACAACAGTGTCATTTACGGTTCGTCTACATACCATATTTCAAACAATAAGGTATAATTAGTTATTACAGGTTAAAAATATATAATTAATAATTTTGGAATTTATACTGCACAGATATATGAAGGTGAGCGCACATTGGCCAAAGATAATCGTTTTCTCGATAAATTTACAATATCGGGAATTCCACCTGCACCGAGGAAAAAGGGCAAAGGCAAAGTGCTAATCGAGATTAACGCGTGTGGAATTCTTCATTTCAAAGCTATTGAAGAAATCACTGGAAATTCAAGTGAAATAAAAATTGCAAGAGACAAAGGTGGATTGAGTGAGAGCGAGATAAAACGAATGGTAATATATTAAACTTATTGAACGCTCATAGAATTGCAAAATATATAAATAAATACGAGAAAACTGGCCTGCAACATATTCGCGCATTAATTACCTTAAATTTCCAAATAGAGAAACAGGGAACAAACTGCAATTATCTTAACATTTTAAATGTACAATATTATTTTCAATGGTGTGATTGAAACATATGGGCAAATATATAAATATAATAATTTTGGAATTGTTCAGTCCAAAACTGCAGCCGGACTGAAGCCGCACATTACAGGAATATACAGAAACATAAGTTTCACGTTAGCAAAAGCAAGTAAATCTGAATCTCTTATTCTCTATGAAGGTACAGGAAGCAGAAAAGTTTAGGGATAAAGACCAAGAGCTAAAACAGCGAAGCCAGGCAAGGAATAAGCTTGAGGATTACACGTACAGCGTAAAGGAAGGACTGGATCGAAAAAATCTAACGCGGAAGCAAAAAGAAGCAATTATGAAAAAAGTGAATAAAATTCTTCAATGGTTGGATATAAACAAGGTAATTGTTTATAAAATTGAAATCAATGACCTATTCAATATCAGGTATGAAAAACTGATATGAGGCGTTAATTGAAAAAGATTTGCTGTTTTCGCGTGATTTATAAATTGAAGTATTGATGGCGAAAAGCTTCATAAGTACTACGTTGCAATATAGGGTGTTAAAAAAGTAACGCGAAATATTTCTTCATTGCAACGTTAAAAAAAGTAACTGTTAAACGACGTCAGTCGTTAAATGTTTTAAGTAGCATTTCGTCTCAATTTCTGTTAATTTTCTGTACCTTCTTAGCACCCTGTAACCTTGCTAATTTTCTGTTAGCTCTTATGAATACATGAAACATAAAGTTCGTTATGTCAATTAGTATTCAGTCAAGCACTTCCAAAGTTTTAAATAAGATTGTTTTATTTATTCAGACAGAACCTCCGCAAATGTCTGAATTGGAAGCAAAGAAAAAGAAGTTGGAAAGAGCAATTAAATAAGTTCATAATAGATTTTTTCACATATTCTGGCATATGTACATACTGATGATTACAAAACTCTAAATAACAAAACTCGCGGACATTCCGAAACAAACTATTTAAACGCAAACACGATTAATTAATTATTCACATATCGTAGATTGTTTTTCCAAATTGTTTTCCAACTACTGCATTAAGTACTTTTAAAGTTTTATTTGGTTGGAATTACCCTGTTGCCTTCGGGACTTCATTCTTTTTAATTATTCACGAGCTAAGATCCTTTAATTTACTCAATTTCCTGATCCCGAGTAATTACGCCAGGAATATGATTTTCATCTGAATCATCTTCAGATAGCAAATGTCTTCTTTCGTTTTATTAATTTTCTATCAAATTTCAATATTATTTCAGGTCACTTTCACATTGTAAATAATAAAAACATTCGCCACATGAAACGTATTGTCACAAAGTGAGAACATTCCCAGGAGATGGTTGAATATGTGTTCGCAGGCTTCTTTTTTTGCCAACTGACTCGTAAAGCTTATAGATGAGTGAGACATAGTGCGCGTAGAGACAATCTCCAGTCTCGACGCAGCTATTTTGATGGCCTACTAAAACCCGAACTAAATAGACCGGTAGACTTTGACTGAATGCCAGAGGTGTGTAAGTGACGAATTCATGATCTCGGTGCAAAGATTGAGAGTCAGCTACAGGGTTTAGTTCGCCAGCTGATACAAGTTTAAAATTAATTTTACGCAACTGATTTGACACTTAGAATAAAAAAATTTCAATAAATAAATTTTATGCGAGGATACAGTACGACATGGGTATTTCAAAAAAGATCAAATAAGTCGAAGGTGGTTGGGATCTCCACTATCCTGGGACTGCCAGCTCATTTTAAGAGCTGCGCGCCTCGTCGACATCCCTTGCGTAACGTTGCAAGGCAGTTAATAATTCAAAAAATCTTCACTACAATTCTCAAGGCTTTCTCAGTTTATGGATATCGAGATGAGCACTGGGTTCCTCGAAATATCAATTTTAATAATAGGAATTTTATTATTTGACTTAGTTGAAGGGTAAATGACGACAAATTGTAAAGAAGTGGAAATTTCCCAACGATCCCAACATATACTCTGCTGCCATGGAAACGAAACACTAATCCGAAATTCCGGTGACAGACAGAGAACGGCAGAGAGTCGAATAATATTAACATTCATTTTTTTAATAATTAATTATTTTATTTTTATTCTTGTGGTCTGACAAGAAGAGCGGATTTGTGTATTCATTTTTTTGTGGGTATTTTGGCTTATATTTCAGACCTTATTACAAATAAAAAAAGTTTTTTTATTGTATATTCTCTACAAATATTCAAACTAAAAGACATATATGAGATCACCTGAGTTAAAAATAATCTCTTTTGATCAATTTGATTCTGCAGTTGCAAAATTAAAAAAGATTATATGGCGCAGAATAGCATCGGCGACGTAGCTCATATGGTAGAACGCGCGCTTTGCCTGCACGAGGTACCGGCATCGATGCCCGACGTCTCAAAATTCTTGTTACTTATCGATTTTAATCGGTAAGCATGTTGATAGGTATTTGTCTGTTTGTCTGTTAGATGCACGCGATATCTCACGAAAGCGAGATCGAATCTGCTCCAGATTTTGCATGTGCATTCATCATATGTCGGACCAGCAGCCTATTGATTTTGGATGAATTATGTCGTTTAATTAGCGAGTTATTAATTGATTAGTGGTCACTATGGAGTAAGAGCGCTGTTTTGGGGATCCCCTAACTTTCGATCGATAAGTCTTCGGTCTCTGACCGATATTCTCGTTTTGGTATTTAATGAAATATAAAAAAGTTCAAATATTCTGAAGCTTTTTCTAAAACACAACACTTTTGCTCAATGGAATAAAAATATACAGTGAGTCCTCGACTTACGACGTTGTTCCGTTCTCGAGACGCAGTGTAACCCGAATTTCAGTGTAAGTCGGAACATTATACTGTACAGTACATAAATTACTCTACACATATCGTACTGTATTGTAAAGTATGGTACTGTAATAAAATGTACAAATAATGCAAAAAAATTATTTTATTAAAAAAACAGAAAACAATTCCATATCACATGAATAAAAGCAAATACTGTACAGTACAGTATTTGTTACATGCATAAATTTAACTTTCGTGAATTAACCTATTCATTTTAGTTATTCTGGTCCCGATAAACATGTTCAGACTTGCTCTCGTTTATTTATTTATTTGTTTGTTTATATTAAGAGCCCTGGCCGAGAGAAAGTTTTGGCAATGATGGTGCAATACTCTCTTATATCAGCTGATTTGTATTCATGCCCTTGTTATTCTTATTGTATCATACTGGGTGTCCTATTTATTAGTGTCGGAGACAGTGCAATGAGGCTTGGAAATTGTAGCGTAAATATGCTAATTTAGAATTGCTAAGATATTTAGGAAAGTTTGTAGTTTAGAAATATTAGGTAATTTAGGTTCTAATTGAGTTGTATATATGAGGCTAATAGTATTTTTCTTGTTTTTGTGTCTTGTAGCTAAATTTAAGTACTGTTGTTGGGCTAGAGACACAAATATATTTTAACCATACAACACACACCATACAATACATCACGTATACACTACCGTTCATAGAGAGAATATTCACTGTGCTACACTGCCATTTATCTACTGTGGAACTTTTAACCTGATTGTGGAATTTTACTGGACTGTGACTTGTATATACTGTAAATATACTTTCATTACAAGTTCTTTCATACAAGTTGGATGTGTTTATGTGTGCGTTACTACTGTGTCGAGAGTTAGCTACAGGAGTGGATTGACAAGACAGCCCAATAAGCAGAAATAGGACCTGTAGAACCTCTCAACTCTACAGTATTATCTTTTATACTTTTTATGGTGTGCGTTCGTAACCTCGAAACAGCGTAAGTCGCGACCGTCGTAACCCGAGGACTTCATTGTACCTTACTGGTGATTCCTGAAATTTTGGCAGCTTGGGATTCGAACTCACTCCATCAAAATGACTGGTGCCTAAAACCAGCGCCTTAGACCGCTCGGCCACGCTACTCACTGATTGGCTGACGTGGTGCCAAAACAAATAATACCTCTCACCATTCTTTGTTGAAAATACGACATTACAATACAATTTTATTTCGATCTTTCGTCTACTCTACAACACAGAACGCACACAAAAAAAAATACAGACAATGACGATGGAAAGATCGGGAAATTGGGCTAAACCTAGAGAAAGGTTTATTGCAAACGCTGTAATCAGCGTTTATGCCCATTCACCCACACTCACATAAGTGGAAAAACACATCGCTTACATGAACACGAGAAGGTAATATTCACGAACTAAGCTTACTTTTACAGTTATTACTTATCGATCTTAAGATCGGTAAGTATGTTAATAGGTATTTGTCTGTTTGTCTGTTAGATGCACGCGATATCTCACGAAAGCGAGGTTAAATCTGCTCCAAATTTTGCATGTGCATTCATCATAGCTCGGATCAGAAGCCCATTGATTTTGGATGAATTATGTCGTATAATCAGCAAATTATTAATTCATTAGTGATTAAACATAGGGTGTCACTATGGAGTAAGAGCGCTATTTTGGGAGATACCCTAACTTTCGATCGATAAGTCTTCGGTCTCTGACCGTTTACTTATTATCAATGTCAAGGATAATGTTTTTATGGCAACTTGCCCGCGGTACGTCGTCCAAATGACGATCTGGCAAGCGAGTACGAAATTTATTTTAATTGTAATGCATGTTAGATAAAGCTGCTCATAGCTTCCGAACGTGCAGATTACTCGTTTTGCACTGTCGCACAGATGAGCTGTGGCGCAGTCCCGAGTCTCGGGGTCAAATTTTCGATGACATGTTTCGTAACCAGTTAACAATAAACCCGTTATCTGCGATGTTGACCGGGCATATCGAGCAAACTAGTTTTGGAATGCGCGAGAAAGAAAAATATTTTTGCGTTCAAGCACTTTGGAATGTTCGACCCTCGTCGCGAACTCCCTTCCGTTTCCAAAACATTATTAAATTTTAATAATCAAAATTACCTCGAACGACATACAACTGACTTACTTATTACAAAACAAGCGCAGTAGAGCAGCACTTGTAACCGCATAAATCCGTGTAGAGACAATAATGAAGGATCTATTTTTGTTGTATGTATTAAATATCGGGTCGTTCGAGGACCGCAACAAATTAGCTGTTGGGCCGCAGTTTGCCGACCTCTGGTTTAGGGATATGATTAGATTTCTGAAAGTTTTCCTTTAAAAATTTATAATTTTGAGCATTTGCCTATGATGGTCAGCCGTAAAATTAACTTTTTTTTAAAACTGTTTCAATAATCCAAAAACTTGAGTATGCAGACACGTCGGATGATATCCTAAACTAACATCTCTTTTTGTCGAACGCTTGAATATCCAGTTGTGAAAATCTTGTCTGATCTTCGATAACGTTTGTTTCTTTATCATTATCACGAGCTTCAAAAAATATCACATTTCCAGATAAATCTGTAAGTAGATAACGGCCCTTAGACGTAGCTCCGATATGAATCCCATTCTTTTTTCTATCAAGTACATTGAATAGGATATTTTCCCGTGACCATTCCATATAACAGGTTCCCATTCTAAATATTATTGCCGGTACCAGGTAGATTTGCCATCAAAGTTCTAGCACCCATCGTTCAACACGTTCGCACCCGACGGCGGTCAGATCCGATTCAATCCGACATTCTGCATCTATCTTTCTCTCTTTAGTGACCATAATGACCGACGAAGAAATAATATATACTACTGAGTAGTAGAGAGATTACAGTACTATATGCACAAAATGCATGTTAGAAGTTCATTTTAGCACGAGAAGCGTACACAGCAACAGTTTCGCCGAAAGCATGCGCCACGAGTTTAAGAGTGCATCCTTCGCAGAAAACGTTGCGTACCGGTAGAGAATTTTCACCTATTTTATCACAGCTATTTCTAGACTAATTTTTGATTACTGCACTTAAACTACAATTAAGTACTCCTTAAACTACAAAGCAGGCAAAATGATGATTGGCTTATCTGATTCATACTTAAAATATTCAATCCCTGACAACTACAAAATTCTAAAATGTCTTTATATATTAATTTAATTGTGTCCAACGTAACTCGCGGTTGCTTCTTCTTACGTCCAAATTCAAACATTAG